TCCTTTGCAAATAGAAAAAGTAATAATAATAAAGGAAATGTTCACTTAGCTATCCCTGCCATAAAACCCTCACTGTTTTACCAGAAATATTATTCAGAGGCAGCAATGCTCCCAGGGGTTTCCAGGATTTAAAATACTCTCTTTTCTATTGCACTTCACCTTACCTGGCTGGAGGGCAAATGATTATGAGCTCGGTATTTGAGGAAGAAGTTCACCAGTTTATACAAGTCGTCCTCACTTTCAATTCCAAGGGCCTGGACAAAAAAACAGAATGACTATGAAACACCACATCAAGAAGAGTCCACTGGCTCCAGAAGTTAACAGATCCTCAGCTCCCGAGAGCAAGAGGCTTGTCTTGCTCCCTTCAGCATCCCTGGCACCTGCCATGGCCCCAGAGCAGAGGGCACTCAACACTGGGAAAGCGGAGTGAATTGGAGACACACGCATCAGAACAGAGAAACAGTGCTCAGAGACAGGAAGTGCTCATACCCACCTGGTGGTTACGGGAAGGCTAAAGGGGGCTGAACACACATCTGAGTGTAGTGGTGTAGGGCGGAACCTGGACTCTGAGAGCTGAGCCATGAGAGGGAGAAGCTAGCAGAGGATGGGGCAGGGATGGCAGACATCTGGACGACTCTGAGGACAGTTTGTTGTGTGGGGAGTTATGTAAAGGAAGGGATATGTGAGCCAAGGGACACCCCGGGAGACCCACATCTACTCCCGGGGCTGAGGCAATGCTGGAAAAACGTAGGGGGCTGTCTTAGTCCCTCCCCATGTCCACTCAGCCCGTGGGACTCACTGAGAAGATGGCGTCCAACCTCAGTAAATAGCGTTCGGTCTTCTCCAGTGGAAGGAGAAGGCTCAGCAACTTGCTCTCTATGAGGAAGCCCTGAGGAGAAGGAAGACAACATCTCTAGTCAGAGACGGTTTTCAGGAATGAGTCCCAGGGTCTGTAGCCTCGCTCTGTGTAACCAGCCAGGAACGACTCCACGGAGCAGAACCCCAGGGATGAGGCTCTGGGCAGTGGGTTTCCCAGAGGAAGGCCTTCCTGGGATGCCTAAGGGCCTTCCCGGAAACAAAGCCAATCTTCATCATGGATTCAGTTCCCCCACCTCTGAAGGGTACTGATTCACCTCACCCACAAGCCCGTGGGCGACACACCTAAGTACCCCACAGCAGCCCAGACCTGATCCAGTCACAGGGTGCCACCCACCCATTGTCATTTCACTCATATGCTAGTCCCCAAATACCTATAGAACATAGCAGCAGGCATTGAGAGGTTGTAAGTAGGCAGTGGAAAGGTGGCCACTGGCAGCCTTCACATTGAGAGGGCGCACCTGTCAGCTGCCTCCCTCAGCAGGAGCTGTCCTCAGTTGCAGGAGCCAGACTTTGTGCCAAAGAAAACTGTCCCAACTGTCTCAAGGGGACTGGAGGTAGCTGATCCTTGCTCTTACCACCTCAGAAATGTAAAATCTAAATAAACACCAATAATGTTTGCTAACAATCAACTCCCAGCTGAACCAGCCCCAATGCAGCCTTTACATTAAGTCTAGTGGTTTTTGCTAATATATTGATACAAGACAGATATCCGAAGCCTAACATGCCCCGAGTAATCTGGGCTCACAGAGAAAGGCCACGTCATTTGTGGCCACACTACTTGGAGGTGACACTGGTGCCCCTTCTCTTGCAGAATGAACGTTTTTTTTGTTAATTAGCAGGAGCCCATTGGCGGGCCTGGACTACACCTTGCTAACCCACTAAAGGAGGACCCATTTGTCAGCTGGGCCAGCATCTGTCAGCAGTGAGGCATAGCCTCTCTGGGAACAGCTCCAAGAAGTCTGAAACAGTACACTCCTGCCTCCAGGCCACTTCGGGCCTGGCCAGAGTCGTCAGCAGCAGCACACAAGAAGCAACAGTGAGGAGGAGATTTATTGGGATGCTCACTTCATGAGTTATATAAATGTCTAATCACTATGTTGTACACATGAAAATAATATAATATTATATATCAACTGTAATTGAAAAAAAATTATTAAAGCAAAGAAGAAGAAGAAACACAGCAGGAAGTGGGCTAAGCCACCCGCCAGGAATCCATCTGCCACCGCTCCTCACCGACTCATCACACAGGAGCATAAGGATCTTTCTGGTAGTTTTTGCTGAAATTTGCTTTGGCAAGTCCAGGTAAGACGCTGCATCCGAGGCAGTCTCTTCTGCCCCCTCCTCTTCTGCAAATGGGGCATAGAGAGAAGAGAGAGAGGAAAAGAAAAAGATCATTCCTTGGCCTTGTTGACTTTGAGAAACAGACAGAAGGCTTTCCTTGAGAAAATTCACCTCTTAAAAAAAGCCTCTTTAAGGCACTAGCTGAAGAAAGCCTATTATGTGGGAAAAACAGAGAGGTTGGGGGTCGGAATAAGGGGCTATCTGGAGAATTCTGCCTTTCTCAAAACAGCCTATAACGCCTCACTTTTCCAAACTTTACCTACCTGGAAATACCATATTCAAAGTCCAGCCATGACCAGAAAATGGGAGCTCAGAGAGTGTGAGCCTATTTATTTTTATTTTCGAGCTAAATCTAGCACATCTGCTATATGGTTCCGAAACCTGCAGCAGAGTAGAAGCAGCCAACTAAAAGGCTGCCTCACAGAAGAACATTACCAGCAAGAATTGGTAGCTGATCGCAAGAGCCAAGAATGTTCTTATTTAAAATTTAATACGTTTAAGTGTTTTATATTATATAGTCTTCATCCAAAAAAGCAGGAATAAAAATCATTGTCCTACCCAGGCTTTCCTAGTTATTCAAAAGGTTAAATGAGATAATATACATGAAAAGACTTAGAAAAGTATAAGATATTAAATTGCCGGTGGGAACGCAAAATGGTACTATCCCTAAGGAGCGCTATCCAACAAAATTACAGAGGCATTTACCCTTTTATGCAGCACTCCTACTTCTAAGGCTCTATCCCAACAATTCACCAGCAAAAACAGGAAAACACAAATGCACAAAGCAATTTATTGCAGCAATGTTTGCAATAGTAAAAACAACTAAAAAACTGGAAATATCCCACATGACTACCAACAGGGACAGTTTAAATAAATTAAGGCACAGCCACACACTAGGGTGCCACATAAAAAAGGAATAAAGAATATTTATTCTTACTGCTACAAACTGACCTCTAGGATATACTGTAAGTGAAAAAAGCAAGGTGGAGAAAAGCATATGTCCTCATTTACCTAAAAAATGGGTTTATAAAAATATGTACACATATTTGTTTATACTTTTTTAAAAAGCAACAAAAAGATAAACCATAAATTTTTAAATAGTTACCTGAAGGACAGAGATGGAATAGGGTGGAGAGGATAAAAACCATACTTCTTTGAGAATACCTTGTTTTGTACATTTGACTTTGAAAACATGTAAATATTTTTCATAATTATAAAATAAAATTGTAAAAAGCAATCCCATATATCCAAAGCAAAGCAAAACAAAAAGACCTAAATGTGTATTCAGTTGGTGACATAATCACATAGAAACTAGCCCAAGTGTCTTTAAAAGACAGCCATCTGTCTGTATATCCCTAGTAGAATGAATATATTCTAAGAGAAGGAAGAACTGTAAAAAAGTTTGGTAATCATTTTTTAGTAATCATCTGTTAGTGGTAGTGTTGATATTTTATCCTGAGACTGTTCTATGGCATTGTCGGTAAAGCAATGAGTAATTATTTTGGAGTCATTGAGCGCCAAGATTTTCACGTTAGGAGAAAGGAGACAGGCTTTGATAAGGTTAAGTAAATATCCTGGCACCTTGATGATTAGGAAGGATTAGGGTGAACACATGATTTATTTTATCTATGAAACATAACCCTGTACCCTGGGGCTTGTCCACTGAGGAGGCCTAGAAACAATGAGCAACCCAAAACAGCGAGCGCTCCAGCACAGACTATGGTTTCAGAATATCATTCCCTATTGCAAAGGGCCAGGTCTCCTTGGAGAAACAGTTGCTTCCAGACTTGAAGCAGGAAAGGTACAATGGCCTGGAACATCTGGTCATTCTGGAAAGTCAGGAAGATGTCAACAACTACTGGGATTGTGTTGAAAGGACCTAGCAGCCAACATGAAGAGACTCCCACTGCCCAAAGACGGGGCAATTTGAGCATCAGTAAGGATAATGATTACAGTAAACGAGAACGTATCAAATTTGTTTAAATCCATGTNGCCAGGCTTCAGAGCAGGCGGCTCCTCACCTCTGACGCTTCATCTCCTCTTCTTCGACTCTCCTGTGGGTCTCTCTGATATCTGTAGCCACCTGGATATTTGTCACCAACTCAGTGCCACAGAGCAGCAGTTTAGCCAATTTCTGAAAACAAAGAAGTAAGAATTTATAAAGCTAGAACACTTTATAAAGAATTTATATATTTGTAAAATTCATAAAATTGTTTATAAATGTATGACTTCATAAAGAATTTATAAAGCTATCAACACTTTGCACAACGGTTGGTAGCTCTTCTATCCAGCCAAACAGGAATTAAAAGCTACCTTAAGACTTTTAAGAGTTGCATCTATTTAGTAACCCATTTCCATCAGGCCATTTGTGATATGATGATGTTATAGGTTACAATGTAATAGCACTCTGAAATTCTGGATGTCCTTTAGTTTATTGTCAGTATGCTGGCATGGACTCTAGGTACACGTACAGTCCCCAGCAGACCTCCAAGTGACTGGCACAGCCAGGGTCCTTTCTAAGACTCTCAGCTGGGGAGGTGAGGCAGACAAAATAGTTGCCCTCCCATGTGCATTTCACCCTATTCTTTTAGTAAGAGAACACACACATTTCAGCTGGGCATTTGATCTCCCAAAATAGATACATCTTCCAAATTTCTTGCGGTTAGTATATGGTCTGATCTGAGCACATGAGCAGAACAGACGCGTGCTACTTCTGAATTGTGCCTTGAAGGGGAAAGGTGTACTTTGCTACTCCTCTTTCCCCTTTCTCCCAGGCTGGAATGTGGTGCTAAAGTACAGTGTGATGAACAGAGGAAGGCAACCTAAGGAAGAGCAGAAGGAAATGAAGGCCTAACATCAAGGAGCCCCAATATCAGCCCTGGACGGCTAATACTCTGAACTATTAAGTGAGGCAGAAAAATAAGCTTCTGTCTTATTTAAGCTAATGTCACATGGGATCTTTTGTTACAGGGGTTCTGATACAGGAGAGAACTGTAGCTGACGGCACTGCCCTCTCCCATAATGCGCTCAGGGATGTTGCTCTTGGTACCCTCCTGCTAATCCTTCTTTATAAAGTCCACCCTCAGTATCTTCACTCCTGGCCTTTCGGTAACATCATAAAAAAAGTTCANCATTATCCTGTTTTTCCTGTACAAACTGTACCTCAGGATAACAAATAGCTGATGAGGGGAAGATTCTCTTTTCAGAAATGTTCCAGCAAATAAATGACATTCTGATAAAATTTAGAATATCACCATATTGCAATCCTTAATGCAATTAATGGTTCTTAGACAATGATTAGCAATGGTTGCTAACGTTATAAAAAGAGAGACAACCTGACCTTAGTTTATTCCAATACAGGTACACAACAGTGTATTTAGCAAAAAGAAATTGAACCTGGACCTGACCAAGCTTCTAGATCTAACTTCCAGTTTAGAATACAGGGAAGAGGGGGAAGCTGTCAATTAGAGATTTAAAAGCCATGTCAACATTCATACCCTACAGACCTCTTAGCTATGAGACCTCTTCCCCTTCTCTGGACGTCAGCCTCCTTATCTGTAAAATGAATGGGTTGACCTGATGCTCTCCGAGGGCCCCTCCAGCTCTAAGGCTCTATCACTCTGTTCTAGTCACCTGTTTGCTTTAGCAGTTCTTCTAAAATTTGTGAGGCAGACTTCTGCTGCTGCTGAGATATAGGCCCCACATTCTCCAGGAACCAGAAATCAGGTGCTGTCCAAGGGAGCCCGAGGTGATGCACATGGATGATTCTGTCTACATCGAAGGCTCTGTTGACCAGATCCTTCACCTCCTCTTCGTTCATCAGCCATATCTCCTGAAACTTCTCGTCATCAATAAGAGCAAAATGCCTGTGAAGGAGAGTTACTGAGCATGGCCAGGTGATGCCGGGGCCTGGCTAGGGTCCCTTCAACTAGCAGCAGCCGAGCACTGAGGCAGAGCTGGGGTAAATCCTGGACCTGGCCCAATCCCTGGGCCACTGACCCTCACTGATGGCAGACTGAAAGCCACCCCAGTAAATCTCAAGAAAAGGTAGGTGACATGCAAGTAAAGGGACAAGGACAATGGCACAAAGTATTCTTTAGTGCCCTGGTCCAGCTCCCAGAAAGCTGGTGCTATCAAAGGCTAATAAAATCACAGCCACCACCAACTGTACCCCTGTAGTCTCTGTTCTAGGCCCCAAGCCCCTAAAATACCTCATGGCTTTCTGGACCTCCTTGAATTGTATCACAAGGCGTTTGTAGTCTGAGGTCAGTGACTGGTTCTCCTCCTGAAACTGCTTTACCTGCTTGGCATATTTTGATCTCAGATTGTTAAGTATATCATGCAGGCTGGGTTGAAGAGAAAAAAAAGTTAGTGTGCTGCTGAATAGAAGGCGTAATGTTCCTCTAATCTATTTTATTCAGTTCTACAGAGCCCAGGATCAGATTTGTGGAAAGGCAGAAAACCATCCCATATATTCCCAAACACAGCTTAGCAGCGATCGGTGATCAAGGAAAGGAAGGCAACAGGAAGTAATGGGATTGTCCAGAACTAAACGCATTGAAAAGAGTCCAGAACCCCAAACCCACCAAGAGGCCATCTCCTACTCAGGAGTGTAACTGAATCTTCCCCAACATGCCAATTGTCAGTGTTCCTACCTAGTACCAACCTCACATATTTAAATAACCTATCTCAACTTCTGACCTTCTGAAACAAGGCAGAAAGGAAAATATTAAAACTGCACATCACAAGCCTATGATATATGAGTCCTCCAGTCTCAAAGAGCTGATACTGTTACTAGGTCCAATAATTCATTCACTCATTCATTCATTCACTCATTCATTCATTTATCAAACATGAAAGGTCTCCTTCATGCCAAAGATATGTTCAAGCACAAAGATAAAGAAAAGGATATGTTTGAATACAAAGCACTAGCAGTCCAGTCATAGATAGATACAAATATGAATTCTACCACAGTGTGAAAAATGCTATAGGAGTTTTACACAGCATGCGAAGGGAGCCCAGAGGTGAGGCATCTAATGTACCCTGGCTCACAGCGGGGGTAAGCAGGGGGAGTGGTCAAAGGTTCCAGCACAGTGAAAGATGCTTAAAACCTGGCCGACAGCACCGTGAATCCAGGCAGGCCACAGCTCCCCATCTCACTGCTAATAGGAGCTCTGTGCATGGAAACTCGTCCCATGAAATATGCATGGCAGCCACAGCTCTGAGACCCAGGACCACACTTCAGACTCCAAACTACTGAAGAGGTGTCTCATGTCAGTGCCCCATTTACACAGGAATAGAAAGGTTGAAGGCGGACCTATTTTAAGTTTAGAAACTCTAAAAATAAAAATTTCCCTCTTAAGCATTATTCCGAAATAATCAGGTCCCTAAAACACAAACACCGATCATTCACATTGTCACCCTCAATAATATGCAAAAATTACTTAACTTCATCTCTGATAAAAAGAAATATCTAACTCATTTTCTTAACTGTAGCATTCTAGGAGACTCTTTCCACATATAGGTGTCAAAAAAGTTTTTTTAAGTAGCCATTTCAAAGTGTGTGGTTTTTTTTTCAGCGTCCTTTAGTTGCTATGTGTCATCTAATCATAGAAGCTAATAAAACAAAAATAAACTCCAGGTGCATACGGAAGGTCTGAGCAAGGTCACAAGACAGGGTATGGACAGGGAAGGATGGCTGCAAAGGGAGGCCCAACAAAAAGCCAAGTCCTCAGTGACTGGCTGGAAGCTAGAGATAAAGGGGAGTGAGGTGGAGGACGGGAAAACTGGGAGGCTTGGCAAGGCTGGGTTCAGAAATTGTGCACTGGAAATGAAAGTGGCTCTCCAAGTGGAAATGCATGTTGGCAGTTCCAGATAAAGCAAGGAGGTGAGGTTGGAATTAGGGATATGAAGTTGGTGGTCATCAACAAAGAGGTGATATTCAAAGCCATGAGGCTAATGTTCAGGGCAATGCAATAAAAATAAAAAGGGAAGGGGTAAAATGCTTTCTAGAATATCTTACCAGGCAAGAAACAGCAGAACCTCCCAAGGAGACAAATTAGGAATAAATTGAGAAAGAAGAGCAAATATTTCAGAGTCATGAAAATCAAAGGAAAAAAGTTCTGAGATTCGGTATCCAATAATAATTGGATGAGGCTTGAGGAAAAGCCATGGTGCTTGGCTAGAATTGGTATCCCACAGAGGGGAGATTTTGTTCAACTCTGGGGCCATAGGTCAAATTATGAATGGAGAGGAGCAAGTAATGAGGAAAGGAAAATGGCCATGGAAGCAAGAAGAAGAAAAAAGATGTGCTCACAGAGGAGCAGCTGCAGGGTCAGTTGATGGGTTTTTCGGGATAAGGGAAACCACGGAAGCCGGATGGTGGGGAGATAACGCCACTCATGGTTCTGCCGTGTGGATCAAACCCAAGTCTGCCTCCCGCACCTCCTCCCGCCTCCCATCTTACCAGCCTCCCCTCCCCCACTACGCAACCTCTCCATCAGACATCTAACTTTCTGATTCCTCCCTCCTTGCCTTCGGACTTGCCGTTCCGTCTCATTCTGTCTACCTTGAAGTCATCTCGTAACTCCTTTTTGCCAATTCATGTCCCTCCCCGCTTCACTATTTCGCTTCTTTAGGAAGCCTTCCCCGATAACCCCATCTCGCTGTACTAATTTGTGTCTGTCTTTGATGTTTTCCTATCTAGTATGGTGCATACAGTGGGATTTTTCCATAAATATTGGCCGCTAACTACTCTCGTTTATCTCAGGTAATCAGGCGTAAGATGCCAGTTCACTTATTCAGTATCATCTTCTAGTATAAGTAACTATTAAAATGTCAGCTGGTGTTTCTCTATACACCCAACATTTGTCCAAAATGTATCACTGATCTACAAATGGAAGACTTCATAAATAGTAATAGGCTGTTTGGGATTTGGAGGGAAATCTCAAACAAGGATTACACAAGATGTCTTATTCGACTGTGATCCTCAGAGCCTTACACAATGCTCTGAGGCTCTAAGGAGACAATTCCTAAAGGAAGAAGGGGAAGAGGGATGGAAGGAAAGAGATAGGAAAGAAGGGAGGGAAGGAGAAAGGAGGATGAGGAGTTCTGAGTAACGTATCTTTTCAGTGAGCCACAGTATTGGGATCAAGCACAAAGAAAAATGACTGTGTTTGAACCAGTGTGATGTGTATAAACATGCATCTCTGATTTCATTTAAAGGCCAAGAATAAATAAGCTATATAAGCATTACCTTGTTTGGTTATTGCCTGTGTGCCTAGTACAAAGAATCAAAAGTTAAGGAAGATGATAGGAAGATGAACCCTATCAGACATTAAAACATATTCTAGTGCCCTAATAATTAAAATAGTGTAGTACTGGAACATGAAAAGACAAAAAAGACAATGGAACAGAAAAGACCCAAAAATACATAGAAATTAAGTAATAAAGTTGTCATCTCCAATCCGTAAGGAATGGTATTAGGACAATCATTAGCCACCTGGGGAAAAATAAAAGTTTAATTCACGCCTCACACTATACACTAAGATCAAGTTCAAATTGATCAAAAGTTTAAGTCTAAAATGAAACTATTGGGCCAGCCGAGTAGTGCGTTGGTTAAGAGCTGGCTTGGGATGCCAGAGGGCCCCGGTTCGGATCCCACATATGAGGGCCAGTGACACTGCCCTCTACAGCTAAGATGCT